CCCTGCCCCAAGGAGAGGCCCGCATACTTGGCCCGATTTTCTGGAATGGTTCCGGGGGTTCCTCCTTCACCTCTTCAGTGGCCACGACGCCTTGTTCGAAGGGGTCTGCAGGAGAAGACACAGCCCTTAGCACCCTGGTAACCAGGCCTCGGGAGCCCAGCTGGGGACCAGGGAGGTGACCAGCCACCAAGTACTTACCTGCCCGATTCTCCGGGGCCCCCTCCACACTAAACACTGCGCCCAGGCAGGAGGCGACAGCCGCAGAAGGAAGAAGCAAACAGGAGCCCTGTTAGTCCCTGCTCAGAGCCGCCCTTGCCCACTGCTCCCAGCCCACCCAGGGCCCAGGCGCGCTCGCTTTCGCAGCCGAGGGGAGCGGCCCAGGCTCGCACGGGTGCCCCAGGAAACCAGGGGCCCAACCAGGACATAGCCTGTGTCCCCACGCCTCTTCCCCCCATGGCAGGGCCCACCCCAGGGTGTGCAGGCATTTCTGCCTGCCCTGTTTCTGGATCACCAACACCCATTTGAGGGGTCAGGGAAGGAAAAAAAGAGAGAGATGGGGGAGGAGAGGAAAACAGGAGGCGAGAAGAAAGCTGAGCTGGTAGGTGGTGAGCCTGGCTGTCATAGCTGGAGATGGGCTGGGGGTGCGGCTACAGAGGGAGCCCCCAAGATCCTTCCCAGGCCCAAGACCCTATTTCTAGGATTTTTCCATTTCCAAAAACAAATTACCTAAATTTATTGTTCTAATTTCTAACTCTATAATCTAAGACACTAAAATAACATCATTCATTTTTAAAAATTGGTTTAATTTCACCAGAGCATATGAATGCTCAATATGAAATCGTATAATGAATTGATATAAAATTGTGGGTATTCAACTGATTTTGATCTACAAAGCCAGCAATTTCACTTGGGTTACCCTAGTCAGAGGCATATTGGAGTATGATGGGGACCTTTTCTCCTCCAGGGTCCTCAGGGGTTGGTCACTCCCCTCATGGTCTGGCTGCTGCAGGGCCCTCCTCTGGGTAGGAGGAGGGAGGGGAGGCCAGGAGGTAGGGTAGCCCTGGCGGAGGGGCTCTACGTGGCGCACTCCCCAGGAGTGAGGGCCTGACTCACCATCCACTGCGTGCAGGTCTCGGTGCTCTTGGAAACAGCTGTAATACTTGTACTTCTTCCCACAGATGTCACATGTGTACCTGAAATTGTCTGTGGGGATGAAATGACAACCCATGGTCACCAGGGCTTCAGTCACTTGGGGTGGAGTGTTGGGGGCCAGCTCATCTGCCTCCGGAACCAAAGAAGGGTCGAGCTCATACTGGCCCAGCTGGTGGCTCCGTGGAGAATCAGTTCTGGGGTGTTAGGGGTCCTCAATGCAAGGAGACCAGGAAGTGCTAGGGTGACTTGCAAACTAACCCCAATCCCAGCCTATGTGCGCTGAGCTCCTAGGGGCTGGGACATAACTGCCCCACCTCCCTCTCCCTCGTAAAGTTACGTGAGAACAACAATCAGGGCAGCTGCTGCTTCCTGGGCGCTGCATGTGCCAGGCGCCAGGTCAGGCACACCCCCTGCATTTCCTCCACTAGTCCTTGGAACTGAGGAAGGACGAGTAATAACTCATTTAACACACAGGGAAACTGAGGCTCAGAGAGACCTGCCCCAAGACCCAAAGCTAAGCGGGCCCATGGCAGGCAGCTCTGACCCTGTCCTCCTGGCGTTTGTGAACTTGTGTTCCCTCCCCTTTGAGTCTGGGCAGGATCTCGTGACTGCTTCTGATGAAGAGAATGCAGTGAAGCAATGGGATGTCACTATGACATTGGGTTACAAAAGACTGTGACTTCTGTCTGGCTCACACCGTCTCACTCTGACTGGCTGGCATGCTGTAAGCTGCCCCATAGATGCCACATGGCAGCCTCAGGGGAACAGCCAGTGGGGAACTGAGGCCCTCAGTCCAAGAGCTTGAGAAGGACTGGTCCTGCTAATAACCACATAGTGAGTCTTGGAGCAGCTGTTGCCCTGGTTGACACCTGAGATGAGACCAGGACCCTGGCTGACACCTTGACTACAACCTCCCAAGAGACCCAGAGCCAGAGGACCCAGTGAAGCCACACCTAGATTCTGACCACAGGAACCAGGCAATAATCAGTGTTGTTGCTTTAAGTCGGAACATTCTGGGGAGATGTGTTACACAGCAATAGATGATGAAGAGAGGGCCTGAGTTTGGATAATCCTGAGGTCTATCAGAATGCTGTCCCTCACCACATTGGTGACACACTCTGACATGTGCTCCGGCACAAACCTGTGTGCATTCCTTGGGCTGATCTAGAGATGGCCCATCCACCGCATCTTTCTAAGGATGTCCAGCACAGGGAGGCCGGGCAGCTTGCTCAGGCTGTACAGTGGGGCTGGAAATAGCCAGGATTCAAATATTGACTTAATTCTAAGCCATGACTGAGTCAGGACGCATGGCCCTCTTCTGTCCAGATAACCCACCCTCCATGCCTGGCCTGGGGCACCAGCCCCGTGGCCCCTCTTCTGCTCCTCAGCACCCAAATACAAAATCTGATGAGACCCCTCCAACCCAAGGTTGCAATGCCAGGCAACTCTGAGCTGAACTTTGGGACACAGATGGTATTAGAGATCTCCCTGCCTCTGCCTCACCTCTTCCACTACACCTGCCGTCTCTGAAAGTGCCTTGGCAGATGCCAGGGCCACAGAGACTAACCAGTCCCCAAGCGAGGTATGCACACAGCCTTGGCACATGCAGACATTCTGAGGGTGTGGGGACCAGGCAGGGTCCAGGCATGCCACCTTCCTACTAGGCTCTAAAATCATGCCTAAACCAGCCAGGGGTAGTGGGGAAGAAAAGCAAAATGATTTTCTATCAGTGAAACCACATTCTTAGAACTCCAAGAGAGCTCGGTGTCTCCGGAAACATCACTGCAAATCCACTCTGGGAGGCAGGCTCTGGAGTCAGGCTGCCCAAGCTCAAACCCAACTCTACAGCTTACAAGGGCGACTAACATCAGACACACTCCCTAACCTCTGCCCTAGTTTTCTTACCTGTAAAATGGGAATGATAGTTTCTTCAACTTCCAGAGTTGTAATGCAGACTAAACAAGCACAATGCTAACATACAATAAATACTGGGTAAACATTACCTAATATCATTGTTTTGCAAAGGGAATCAATGTGACAACGGCAAGAGAACTGGATGTGGAGAGATGGGTAAGTGGGTAGATGCCTCTATGTGTGACTGCACAAGTTTTCTAACAAATAAATCCCTGGACTAAAGGCATGAAACCTGGTCTCTATGCCCACCTCCACCCCTAACAAGCTGCATGACTTCCCTCTGGGACTCCGTATCCTCATATACAGAACGGGTAGGCTGGACCTGCTGTTCTCAACGGGATGCTTTGGCTCCAGGACCCCATGGCCAGGCTCCTGTAACGAGGCTGGGGTGTGAGGATGCCAGACTTTCTGAGCAGGCACTGCTGTAATGGATCAGGGTAGGGGCGCAGGACCCAGAATAAAATAAAGCACATTGGCCACAGGGAGAAAGGGAAAAATGATGGAAGGATTAAAAATAGCTCCAGCGACAGAGTCCTTAACAACCCTCCGGCCTGCAGGAACGACGGAAGCCAGACAGAACACAGCCTATCATTGAGGGGCTGCCAGAGAGGCCAGGGGCCCAGAATAGCCCAGGAAGGAAAGACAAACGGGGAAGTTCTTTAAATGGGTGGCTGACCACAGGCAGAACATGGGACACGGAGACAAGGGAGCTATAGAGGGAGAAGGAGCCAGGGGCCACGCTGGGGCATGGGGGGGGTGGGGAAGTGGCAGGCCCTTGCCTCCTCCCAGCAGTGGGCCCTCTGGCAGGTGTCGGCCAACTCGAGCCTCAAATTCTGCTCCAGAAAATGGAAATGTAGCCTCAGCCCTGCCTGCCTATCATGTGCGTAAGAATCCAAAGAGAGCAGATGGAAAAGTGCCTCAGAGGATGAGCTACTGGGACCCAGTGCAGTTAAGGTCCTGCTTGAGCTCCAGCACCTGTTTTGGATTTTTTTGGGAGGGAGGGCGTCACGTTTATTTATATTTTAAGAAACTTTTTGCCCAGCCAGGCGTGGCTTAGTGGTTAAGCATCGACCTAGGATCCAGGAGATCACAGTTCAGTCCCTGGTCAGGGCACATGCCCAGGTTGTGGGCTCGATCCCCCATCCGGGGCATGAAGGAGGCAGCTGACCAATGATTCTCTCATCATTGATGTTTCTATCTCTCTTTCTTACTCTCCCTTCCTCTATCTGAAATCAATAAAGATACATTAAAAAAAGAAACTTCTTATGGCCGTGTAACGATGTCAATAGAACAGGAGTTCATGTCTGAGCTACATGGCAGAGATGAGCAATTGGGACAGAGGTGTCTGCCTGGTGGCCTGCAAAGTCTACACTGTTTACCGCATGGTTCCCGACAGAAAAGCATGCTGGCTCCTGATGTAGAAAGAGTCTGAATCCTTCGTGTGCAGCCTGTTCAATGATCATAGACCTGAAACACGTGCATAACCAGTGCCCGGTTCAAATGTCAGAACCCAGAAGCCCTGCCCCGAAGGCGACCAAGATTCTGACTGTTTCAGCATGAATTCGCAACCCCGGTTTTGGGTTTCCTGAATACAGCTCATAGGAGGGACTCTTGGTGGGCTTCCTTTGCTAACACTGTCTGTAGGTAATCCAGGTGGCTGTGTGTAGCTCTATATCTCTGCTTCTCGATACTGTACTGCAGGCCTTTGTGTAAACACACATGACTCATTTACCCCTTCAGCTAGCTGGACACTCACCCGGGAGGTCTCGGTTTGGAGCTGGTACAAACAGCACCGCTAAGAACACCCCAGTTCCCATCTCAGGGTGGACATGCGCACACATTTCTGCTGGGGATACACCTGGGAGTGAAACTGCTGGGTTCCAGAGCCCAGGGCTGTTTGGTCGGGACAGTTCCATCCCAGCCTACACCTGCCTGGCTGGCCACTTACCAGGCCCGTGGGTTTAGATCTAAAGGGAGGGCAAGCAGGGCCTGTGAGCAGCAAAGTAGCACTGTCCCCAGATGTCAAGGCTCTGCACATCCCAGGCTCTAGGACACCGCACCCCAGCGATTGGTGCCCGTGGGTGCTCACGACATAACTCTGAAGTAGGAGTTCCCAAACATCGGCTATGGAGCCCCAGATCCATGAATGAGAGTCCAAAGAACAGAGGAAACCACATGCTGGGCCCCTCTTGGAGGGGCCCGGGTGTATCTGCCAATGAAGAGCCCTGAGAAGTCTATAGCAAGAAACATGTTCATCTTTGAGTTCAGCAGAACTCAAGATTTCCCCAGATTATTCACCCAAAGAGTCCTCTACAGACAGAACACCTATTATTAGCTTTCCTAGAATGAGATGTCACGGAACACACTTTGGGAAAGGCTGTTCGGAGGTACCGTGTTACATTTTCATAAGGACCCTCTGGCCCCAAAGCCTGGACCACAACAGTGTGCCTACCAGCAGCCCCGTGGCCCTCCTGGTGGTGGCAGGGGTGAATAAGAGCGTCTCCTCCTTCCACCCCAGGACCTCTCCCCCTGCCCCCGAAGCCCATGGGAGGGAAAAATACTCACTGCCTTGGGAGGCTCCCTCCCCTGAGGTGGCTTCAGTGTCTGCAAGAAAAAGGGAGAGACAGACATGGGGAGAGGAAGACGGGGAGAGAGAGAGAATAAATGAGAAAGAGGTGAGTACGCTAGACCAATGGCAGGGCTGGTGAACCCACTGCAACCTGCCCAGGGACACTCTCTCCAATGCAAGATGCAGGGGATGAGCCTCTCATTTCTTCCCTATGCTCCCTGTCCCCCACCAACGTCAGTCAAGGCCCTGACCCAAGGCCTTTCCTCCCTGTCTGTCGGGCTCAGGGAGGGGCAGGTGCCAGCCCTCCTGTCCTCATCTTCAGAATGGAGACAACTGCCCTGCCCCCGCTCCAAAGAAGTATTGTGGGAGAAAGCAGGCCTGTGCAGAGCAGGCAGGGGGCACTGGTGGCAGAAGTCTGGTGGCATGTCCTGCTGTCCCCTACCCCTGTGTGCTCTCCCAAGTAAAGGAGGCTACTCTCTCCTACTGCAGAAAGAGAGAGAAGACTGGTGACTCTGAGGCCTCTGGCGTCACCCAGGAGGGGTCCAGATGGAAAAGCAGGCAGAGAACAGGGAGGCATGGCTCCTGAACTCTGCCCTAGGGACACACCACTCACCTCGGTGTGCGCGTACGTGGGTCTGGAAACAGTTGTAATACTTGTACTTCTTGCCACAGATTCCACATTCATAGGACCCTGGAAAACAGGAAAGAAAGGGACTGCTCAGCTGGCACCCAATGCATGCAACCATGAGACCCCAGTACCTGCGGTGATGCCTCCAGGGACCGCTAACTCTGCATCAAGGGGTCAGGGCTCGTCCAGGGGCCTCTTGTCCCCAGTAAGCAAAGAGGCAGCAAAGACATCACTGACCTGGAGGCCAGGAGGCCTGGATCTAGTTCCAGGTTGGCCTCAAGTCTCTGAGTGACCTTGGGAGAGTCATTTGCCATCTCTGGGCCTGTTTCCAAATCTGTAAGATGGAAAAGGCAACTTCTTTAGGCAACTCTCATACTTACTAAAGGAAAAAGGAGACGAATGTAAAAGTGCTTCTTCAACAAGGACTAAATCGCACCATGTAAGGAAATCATCTCTCGACTGCATCAGAATAATTTCTAGCTACCTGCCCTTGCTAGGATGGGACAGGCGTTAAGAGGACAGGCTTTGAATCAGACACACCTGAGTCCCTGTCCCTGTTCTGCCACTTACCAGCAGCACAACATTGGTTATTTCCTTAGACACACTAAGCCTCAGTCTGTTCATCTGTAAAATGGGGCTAAAAGTACCTACCTCATAGGGAGGCCCTACACTCCCCCAGGAAGTACAGAAGCTTACTACAGATGTGCCCAAGAAGGAGAGGACCCCACTCCTCTGCTGAGGAGCTGTCTTGTTCCCTCAAACATGCAGAGACAACACTGTGTGAACACCTGACCTCAGCCCTCTGCTGGGCTCTTCTACCAGAAGCAGGCAGACTGAAAAGGCTGGGTTCCCAGTGATCATATTTCAGACAGGTCAAAGGCAGAGGAGCCCACCATTCAGAGCACAGGGCAAAGGCCCATGGCAGGAGGCCAAGCAGAGCCCATCAGACCCAGCCTGGCAGGTGTCCCAGGAGTCCAGGCCCTGCCCATCCCTCACATAGGCCTGACACCACCTGGGCCCTGGGCCCATCATTCCTAACAGAATGGCCAGGCAGTCTGCATACATACAGAGGCCTTGGCCTCACTCCAAGCTTAAGGTGCGAGAATGGCTGGGGCTAGGGGCAAGGAATCTGCATTTTTATTTTTAATATCTTTTTATTGATTTTTAGAGAGAGAAGGAGGAAGGGAGAGAGAGAGAAACATTGATAAGAGAGAACCATTGGTCAGCTGCCTCCTGCATGCCCCCTACTGGGGATTGAGCCTGCAGCCCAGGCATGTTGACCTCTTGGTGCATGGGATGATGCTCTACCAACTGACCACAGGAGCCAGGGCAGGAATCTGCCTTTTTAAAAGGGTCCTCAGGGGATTCTGATGCCCAGCAACCAGGTAATGAGAATCACTAGTTTAGATGAGGTCTCAGCTCTACCATTTTCTAGCCAGGCCTGTTTCCTCATTGGAAAATGTGGATAATGCAAGAGCACCGATGTGGAGGCGGAAGCATGAGCAGTGTTCCCACCACGAGCCCAAGAGACCCAGTGAGTGGAAACATCACCAACTCCTACTGGGTGTGCACTGGAGGTGTCAGATTAAGTCAAAAGAGCACTGAGCTTGGAGTCTGGCTGTCAGCTCAGCTCCGCCAACCCTTAGCTGTTTGATCTCAGGCACATGCCTTTTCTGGTCCATGCCTCAGTTTCCTCATCTGAAATACAGGACTATGATTCCTACCTCTCATTACTGAGGTCAGGATTAATGAGCTATAGCATGGGAGTCAGCTGACACGCAGGTGGCACTGTCACCTTACTGCTGTGGGGCGCTCAAGGGCACACTGTCATCCTGACGCCAGTGTGGAATCCCGCATCTGCTATGCAGTGATTGTATGTGTCTTGCCTCACAGGGAAGAATATAAACACATGAGGAGCAGAAATAAGATTGTCTTTAGCCCTGTGACTGGCACACAGCAGGGGCTCAGTAAATTCATGGTGTTCTACTCATCTGTCACCAACTCCATGGCCACTGTGTACCCCAGGTTGGTGAAGTCAGACCCTCAGGAAAGGGCCTTCTGGGGATTCTCAGCCCAGAGGGCCTCTGTCCCTGCTGCCTGACTCCCTGCCTGGCATGCCTCCTCACTCTTGAGTTCCCCAACTACCTCTTTGTCCTGTGTCACCGTCACTCTCTACTAAGTACCAGGCACTGGACAGGCCTGGCCTCTGACCTCACTGCCCAGGTGAGGAAGCAGAAGCCGGCCAGGCGTGCAGTGACCTGCCCACCGCACACAGCCAACTAGTGGGAGGGGGGCCGGACTCAGGGCCTGCTCACACATCAGCTCAGTTCATCCTCACCTGCCAGCAGACGGAGGCAATTACTACCCCCACTTTTCAGGTGAAGGAAGTGAGGACTGCAGGAGTGACATACTGCCAGAGGCTGCCAGCTCTGTCCCGATCCAGGGCTGCTGTGTGTGCCCACCACCCACTCGGCCGCTAGGGGAACATCAAGAAGAGACGCTGCTTCTGCACGTTAACATTTACCGCGCACACCCAGGTCTCACTTCTGTCCTGCATCTTCCCAGAAGTCCGCATGTGGCTGGGACAACCAAACACCCACTTCAATGATGAGCTTCTAAGTTCCAGGGGGTAGGTGGTCCAAGGCTGGGGCCACTCAGCCAGTGGTTTGTGAGAAACTGGACTCAAAGGCAGCCACTAATTTCCAGAGCCATCCTAGTGCCACCACGCCAGGTCCCCTCCGGATGCCTAAGGAGCCATGAGTCTCCTTCAGTCATGGGACTCCCCACTCTGCAGGGCAGCAGAGTCCCCAACCATGTCTGGTACCAGCACAAGACTCCTGGAGTCCACTGTCAAGAGCCAGGGAGAGCTGGCAGGGCACACCAGCCATGGGATCAAGCCTTCTCCTCTCCCCATCCTGCTGTCACTAGTGACACAGCAGGAATCCACAGGAGCTCATCAACAGCGCCTGTCTTGCACTGTCGGTAGCCACCTGGTACAGAACCTGGTTCTCCCTGCCCGAGAGCCCGGGACAGACCAGGTGAGACCAGCAGAGGCCAGGTGGCTCTAGTCCCCGAGGCCATGGAAGGGAGAGGTGGCGAACACCGAGGCAGAGGTCTCCTGAGGACAAGGAACGTGGGTAGCAACCCTCAACTCTATCATTCGCACCCAGCTAGCTCCCGACAAGCTCAGACACGTCTCAGGATACACAAAATGCAGCAGGCGGAAATCCGGAGCAGGTGAAGGAAAAAGGAGAACGCAGGCGGGGCAGAGAGTTGGCCCCTCACGACGGGCAGTCCTGCCTTTGGCTCAGCGCACCGCGCCGCCGGCGGCTTACAGATCAAACGGTGAGGAGCGGCCAGCCGGCTGGGTTCCGGGGCGCATCAGGAGCTGGGCCCGAGCCTGCCGCGGGACAGGGGACCCGGCCAGGTAAGTCGGGGACGGGTGGGTTTCCTGAGGCTCTCTGGGGCCTGGCCTTGGACCAAATGTGCTCTGAACCAGGGTCTTCCAAGTAGAGAGCAAATCCCCCAGGGATATGGGAGCACAGGCAGCCTTAAGATAATCAATCCCCAATCATCAGCTTCCGAATGTATTTTTCCTGAAATCAGCAGGCCAGAGAATGTGGCAGCAGGCAGGAGGCCCCACTCCTTGGGTTCTCCTTTCCTCCTCTCCTCTCCTCTCCCCTTCACCTTCTCCCACATTACAGACAAGACAATTCCTTCATCCACCTAATCCCACCATGGCGTCCTCCACGGGGGATTATCATCTCAGGACTCAAAGCGAAGACGTGACCTGAAACAGCGGGTGTCGGACTTAGAAAGTGGGTGGATGTACTGACTGGGAACAATTCCTCTTGTGAATCAATGTTTTCTAAGTCTTAGCTCTCAACAAAATTGAAGATCTAATGGCACTGTCAGCGGAGAGACCATTAAAAATAATGTCCGATGTGAAACCCCCAAGTCATTTTGGGCCAACTTGGAGTTAAAGTACTAAGTGATGCTAATACAGAACTCCACACCC